GCCAGGACGGGGCAAGGCTGTTGGCTACAGCAGAGGGACCCATGCTGAATTCACAGCACCACTCCCAGGCCATCTGTTGCCCTGGCTCTTGCTGGACAAAAGTAGGATGCAGGCAGTAGAGGGAGAGGCTCAGAGTCACTGTGTCGGCTCCCTGTCTTCCCCCAGCACCCACCCTGATGACTGCCCGGCTCAAGACTTGAGCTTGCCATCGGGGTCGGGCTAGGGAAAGTCCAAGCCTTGGAACAGGTGAGTGAAAACCGTTCTCTCTCTCTCTCTTCTTTCTTTCTTTCTTTTGTGGTACTGGAAATTGACTCTAGGGTTTTTGCACTGATCTACATTCTGAGCTCCCCTCCCCCCACTTTTTTTTGGTACCAGGAATTGAACTCATGACCTCAGGCTTGCTAGGCAAGCCCTTATGCCACTGAGCTATATCCCTGGCCCTCCCCTTATTTTTTTGAAACAGTGTCTTACTATGTCCCTAAATTGCCCAGGATGGGCTCAAACTCACAGTCCTCCTGCATCAGCCTCCCACAGTGCTATGGTACTTTTCTTAGAGGGACTTATAAGGAAGGGTGGGGCCGATGAACCACTAGACCTGGCAGGCTGGGGACGTGGTAGCCCTGCCTTCCTCCCTAGCGCAGCGCGTGATCCTCTCTTAGGGCAGTACTCTGTCAGCCCATCTGACTAGAAGCCTGGCTGTGTGAGCAGCTCTACCTCTCCCAGCACGGTCTGCGGTGATGCTGCTCCGAGGGAGCAAACAGACTCATGCACATGAGGTGCAGCCTAGGGCGAGCCGCAAGTGCTGCGCTGAACGAAGCTGCTGTACTGCCCCAGGCACTGCTCACAGCCTCCTGCAGCTCACTCGCGGCCTCACTGCCCAGCCCACCTCGCCTTCCTATTCTCTGCCCAGCCAGCCATGCCTACGCCTTGCCTCCTACCTCCAGTTACCAGAATAGAGGCCTAACAACGGCTGCCAAGGCCTCTTTCCTGGTGCGGAAAGGGGTGGCCAGCTGGAGTATAAATTGCTGAAGGTTGCAGAGGTAGACTAACAGACCTGAGCAGGCACAGGGCATCAGCAACACCACCGAGGCCTGCACTCCTGCACTCCTGCACTCCTGCACTAAAACCTGACATTCAGAAACTTTACAGTACTTGTTCGAAACCCATACCTAGGAAGAGAAGAAGAGACCCACTTTTCTCCTTCCTTCCACCATGAGCATGGAATCCTAGCACCTCTGGCCTCTGGTGTCCCTGCATTGCCTGAGGGAGGCTCTTGTGTAGGGAGTGGGAGATGTTCAAACGTTAAAAGGAAACTCCCTAGTCTTTTGCCAGGATTTCAAAAAGGTGAAATTATTTATCTGCCCTGAGCTACCAGAACTGGTGAGATCCAAGAAGAGATGCTGGTCCAGCCCTGTTTGTTCCAAAGCAGCTTTAGTCTGAGTAAAAGCGGGCCATGAGTGGAACCCTCATAGGAGAAAATGAGATACCCGCTCAGTGGCACTGGATCCCCCTTCCTTTGCTCCAGAATGAGCCAGGCTTCCTGAGACGCAGTCTCCCTGTCTGTAAATGGAGAGTGTGCTCTCTGTACTCCTCCCCACCTTCCATGCATTTTAATGACTCCATGTATGCAGATATAGCAAAGGACCTAGTGGGTATCTCCTCCCTGTGAGCCTCACAGGCAGGGGCGCAAGAGCAAGTACCGTGTCTGCGTGAGAACCAGCCAGCATTGCCCCAGGCCAGCAGGAGGTCAGGCCCTGTCCAAGAGCAGGGATTACAGACCTCAGCTGCTGCTTTTCACTGATGGGGCTGCTCTCTGACCTGTGTGTGGAAAGGCGGTTACAGTAATCCTGGGCCCTGGAGAAGCGGGCATGGCAGCCTAGGGCCTGTACTGGGTCATCTCCACACCTGGTCTGCCCTTTTTTTTTTTTTTTTTTTAAGAGCAGACTATATTTATTGAGGGAAAGAAAGCTTCTGTCCAAGAGAGGGACAGAAGGGGGGCCCAAGTGGGTTACCCAAGGTCTGCCCTTTTTTGTATCCCTGCTAAAGTAGTAAGACCCTGACAGGTGGCACGTGACACAAAAACAAAAACACTGGGGCAGTGGTGACCATTACCTGGTAGTGCCAAACTCTTACCCTCCATTTTGCTCCTTGGTCCCCACACAGCCATTAGCACAGCGGCTCTACTGGACCCCTAATCTGGGCAGCATCTTGAGTTACACACCAGTCAAGGGGCCTCTGCTGGCGAGAAATGTTGTTTCTCACGGTCACATGCCCAAAGGCCCCCGAGAGGCCCTGAGACCCTCCCGGTCACTTGTGTGGCCCTTATTCCTCCTCGGGACTTCAGGTCCTCCGCCTGTCCAGTGGGAAGCAGCGCGTCCAGACGACATGCCCTGAGCCCAGGACCCAGGCTGCCAGGCCTCCTCAGACAGAGCCCAGGACCGTCCGAGCTGGTCCAGTTACACCCTGCCCCAGTCAGGGCCCCTATGATGACGCCGCCCTGTGGCCAGTGTCTGCAGCCACTCGGATGCCCAACTTCAGAATCACATGTGGAACCTCAGGCCAGGAAGCGCTCAGCCCAGAGACCCACAAGGCCAACCCTAGAGAAGTCTTCTTAGCAATTTTTTTTTTTTTTTTTGTACTGGGAATTGAACTCAGGAACTTGTGCTTGCCAGGTAGGCACTTGTGCCGCTGAGCTATATCCCCGACCCATTCTTAGCTTATAGTATCAGTTATAAATGTCCAAAAGAGACGTGGTCTTCCAGGACAGCTCTAACAGCAGGTGTGAGCAAAACCTGTGAACTTGTTTTCTCAACACATGTATGACTACGGAGGTAAATGTGCTCTTAGCCAAGTGGCAAAGGGCAACTGCACTGGCTTAAAGATTATGTTCTGCCACTCCTCAGGAAAATGTGTCAAAGGTTAGGTTTCCTTGACAGGATACCCCTGACAGCCAACTCTGGAGACCCTGGCAGAACAGGACATGTACCAGGTATGAACCTGCAGAATGACCTAAGTCAGCATTTTCCAAACTGGATGGCATGGAACAGCAACCATAATGTGCTCTGTGAAAGCAATTCTGGAAAAGGCTGCCAACTACAGCTCTGTCTTGGAACTTCTGACACCCCTGAGGATGCAAAAAGCCTGAGAAATCTCACAGCAAGAACCATTTCATAGGCCAGCTGATCCCTATAATCTCAGCACCCGGAAGGCTGAGGCAGGAGGAACACTGTGAGTTTGAGCCCAGCGTGGGCTACATAGTGAGTTCAAAGTCAGCCTGAAGTGCATAGTGAGACAAGAATCACTTAATTTGTCTAGTCTAACATTTGCTTGAAATACTTGGCCAAGCGGCCTGCTCTTCAGCAAAAACTGAGTGTGCAGTAAGTCTGAGGCCCACTTTCCTCCTGGCCCTGAGCCTCGGCTTCCTCCCAACCCCATGAGGCAGATGGACTGAGTGTCCCTAAGGTCCTCCCACTCTGCTGTTCTTTCCAGGTGCAGCCAAAGGCTGGCTCCCTTTCCACCTTGTTGAAGGGTCTGGATTTGGGGGAGCCTGAAGGCAGAGGCTGTGGAATCTAGCAGGCTGAGATGCCCACTAGGAGACTGGTGCCACTCTGTGCAGCTTTCTGCCCTGCCAGAGACTGAAGCACAGCTGAACATCTCAAGGAGTCTGGGACCCGGAGGGGCAAGGCCAGCACAAGGAGGGCTCACCACAGGGCCATGGGCATCTGCCAAACCTCCTGCTCCTAAGAGACCAGGTGCTTCTAGCTTCTCAAGGGCGGCAACACACAGGCACGCTTTCCTGGCCCAGATCGCACTGTGCTCAGTACTGAGCAGCAGACACTTACCTAACTGATCGGTGCAGGGTTGGGCCTGTTTCTAATCACAGATGCAGCAATCACGAGCATGCACGCCTACTCAGGAAGCCTCCACACTCCAGGAGTGACTCCAAATGCTCTGAGTCATCGCCCCCCCACCAACAGCTCCTTCCTTGGAATCTCACACTTACCTCTTACAAACCACACATCCCACACCCACAGCACCTCATGGCATATATAGACCCTGACCTGTGAACAGTTATTCTCACTCAGCCCCCTCCCACACGGTCCAAACGGCTCCAGCTGCTGGTAATTCCAGGGGCGCTGAGGCCCACGCTTATACTCAGCCACTCTCCACCATGTCCAAGGGCACCAGAGCCTTGCAGGCAGGACCAGACTTCTGTGAATTGTCCTGGAGGAGAGGGAGGAGGCCAATAAACCTAGGTAGTTCATTTCAAACGAATGACCGGGCCTCAAGCAATACCCAACAGCACCCAACCGGGGCGCCAGAGAACCTTCAGGCCCTTGGTGTGGCATCCCACAGCAATGCAAAGCACCTGAATGAAACTGGGGACCTGAAATCCTCTGGAGCAAAAAGAAAAAAAAGAGGCCAAACCCATAGGTACGGTTCTATAGTAGCCTTTGTGAATGCATGGCTGCCAGCCTGAGTCTCTGCTTTACCCAAGGTCATCTCTCTGGGGATGGGTAGGCTGGTCCACCAACACACGCCCCCAGCTAACTAGAACAGAAGCCCAGAGGAGGAGTTTCCTAGATGTCAAGAACAGAGGCAGCTCAGGGCAAAGAAACTTGCCTCCTTTTGGGCTCCAGTTGCTCATACCCTCTCCAAATGAGTAACCACTGGGGAAAGTTGACCATAGGACTGTCACTGACCTCTCCAAGGTTTGGTTTTTCAGGCCAAACTTGACCCAGGTAAGAAAGCGTCTCCTATTCTGGGGTTCTTCCCAAGCTTTTGGGGTTAAAGAATCCCTCAGGAAATCTGGACCAGGCTTTGTTCTTTGCTGCCACATGTTGGAGCCAGGAACCCCACCCCCACCCCAAATCAGGAAGACACAGATGCTGGAGGCTGAGGGAAATGACCAGGAAAAGAGGTGGTAGAGGGGAAGGGACCAGGGGTGGCATGGCAATGAGGCAGTGGGTAAGTGGGAAGCCGGCGCAGAGTGCAGTTACCTGGGTAAGATGCGGGTTGGGGTTGAACCCACACTGGTTGCAGACCTTGTTGTGACACTGGGTGCATGTGTTGAAGTTTGGCTGGCTGGGGGTTGAAGTGAGGTCCGAGGTCTTGCATATGGGGCACAGGGTGCTGCTGGGAAGAGGGGCGATCTGGGGGACGGAGTAGGGTGATGTGGGGGTGCTGCCTCTGTCTGGTGACACAGAGGGGGACCGCCCTGATCTCTGTGTCCTGCTGTCCACCTGCAGCGTCCTACGGGGACCATCAGCCTCCTGTCCTGCGGGCCCCTGTGCCCTGGTTTCCCGGGGGCTCTCGCGGCTAGGAGCAGTAGCAGAAGCTTGCTTTGGGGTTGGGGAGGCTGCTCTCTGGCTACCGAGGGGCTCCTTGGGGTCCAGTCTCCGGGAAACGCTGAAATGACATTGAAAAATGAATGTGTTAGAGACATATCTTAGAGAAGCAGCCTGCAAGGACTCTAGCAAGCTGGGTGGCCCTGTCAGGCCCTTTACCACCCTCCTTCTCCTGCCCAGTAGCATTCTCACAGCCACTACTTGCTGTCCCCTGTGCTGAGTCCTGACACACATCTCCCACTTCAACCCTCCACACCAGGCCACATGACATGATCCTAGATGGACCATTTACTCCCCAAAAAGAGCGAATTCACATTCCTTAAGTCTAGGGTGGGGGTCTGCATTTTTAAGAGGCTCCATGATGATACCAGAACTCTAAGGCACTTTCCTTCTGTGGCCCTCCAATGAGCCAGATGCCAACCCAAGTCTCACAGGATGGGATGGAGTGCTAGTCTCCCACTGCTCTAGGGCTGGATGTGGTCTAAGACCTAACCCCTGAGAAACCACTGAAGAAGGCCCAATGTGCCTGCCCATTATGTCCATCCCAAGCTTGCCTGGCTGCAGAGGAGCCCAAAGAGAAGGCCAGCTGCTTGGAGCCAACTGGCAGGGCATCCTGTGACGAACTATTTCAGAGAGGAGATGAAGCGGGCAGAGGGAGGCCCACCCCAAGACACCTGCAGTCCTTCCTCCCATTAGGGAACTATGAGTGCAGAAGCATACCCCTAGTCTAATAAAGACTGTTCTGGAAGCCAGACATGATGGAGCACACTTGTAATCCCAGCACAGGGGAGGCTGAGGCAGGAGGTCACAGGCTAGAATCCAGCCCAGGCAACTTAGCAAGACCTTAGTGAGACCCTGTTTCAAAATAAAGATGACAAAAAATATGCTGGAGATATAGCTCAGTGTAAAAATTCACAGCTCAATCCCTAGGACTGAAAAAAGAAGACTCCCAAGAAAAGAAAAACTAGGGCTGGGGATATAGCTCAGTGGCATAAGACCTCAAGCCTGAGGTCATGAGTTCTATTCCCAGTACCAGAAAAAAGAAAAGAAAAGAAAAGAAAAAGTAGCCGGGCGTGGTAGCACACGCCTGTAATCCCAGCACTCGGGAGGCTGAGGCAAGAGGATTGTTTCAAGTCCGAGACCAGCCTGGGCTACAAAGTGACCTCAAGGCCAGCGTGAACCACATAGAGAGACTCTGTATCAAAAAAAAAAAAAAAAAAAAAAAAAAGAAAAAAGAAAAAGAAAAGAAAAACTATTAAATCTCCTATCACGCATGCATCAACCACCAATAGCATGTACCTAGCCATCTACCCATCAAGGCAGCAACAGCATTTCTAGCCCACACTCAGAACCTAGGCTTCTCTAGGACTTTCCAACAGATTAATTTTTAGGTATCCTAAAGAAATATTTCCCACAGGGTTAAATTAATAGTTTAGTTTTCATTTAAATTATTTGTAGCTAGCATTCAAAAGCAGCTTTTTTGCGGGGGATGTTGTTTTTTGAGACAAGATCTTTCCATGAAGTGTAAGCTGGCCTTGAACTCACCATGTAGCTCAGACTGGCCTCGAATTTGCAGCAATCATCCTGTCTCAGCCTCCCTAAAAGAAGCTCTTTGGGGCTGGGGATTTAGCTCAGTGGCACAGCGCCTGCCTGGCAAGTGCAAGGTCATGAGTTTGATTCCTGGTACCAGAAAAAAAACAAAAAAACAAAAAAAAAGAAGCTCTTAAAAGCTACTCAGGTTGGGCTTGATGGCACTCACCTATAATCCCAGCATTTAGGAAGCTGAGGCAGGGGGATCACCATGAGTTTGAGGCCAGCCTGAACTACATGGCAAGACTCTTTCTCAAAAAAAAAAAAAAAAAACAAGGTGTGTGTGGTGGTACATGCCTGTAATCCCAGCACTCAGGAGGCTGAGGTAGGAGGATTGCCACGAGTTTAAAACCAGCCTAGGCTACATAGCGAGACCCTACATCAAAAAAAAAAAGAGGAAGATGAAAGAAAGAAAGCTGACAGTGCTTAATAACATGTGACTGGGCTGTGGACCCCTCTGTAGGCTGTGCAAGGCCTTCTAGAAAATTTAGCAATTCCTACTATTTGTGTTGCCTGATGAATGACAGGCAATCTTCCATTTACACAGTGACTTTTCTTCTCTTCAGCACTAGGGATTGAACCCAGGAAGTGTTGAACTATATCCCCAGTCCTCTTTATTTCGAGACAGGGGCTCACTAAGTTGCTCAGGCTGGGTTCTAACGTGGGATTCTCCCTCCTAGCTATAGTAACTTTTAAATTCAATGTGAATCACAATGTAGTATTTCTGGAGACATTTTAACCAGACCCAAACTGGATGCTCAATTTGGATTTCCTGAATGGGTGGACTGTAAGCTTGTCATGGATAAGAAGAATAAGATGTGACCCAAAATATGTTAGGGCTGATGAAACACGGCAAGAGCCCGGCCTGGCATCCTCTTGGCCGGACTTCCTGCAGGAGAGAGCTGCGGGGACAACGCCAGGGCTCTGAAGGGCTGCTGGCCACACTCTGGACCCACCATCTGGAATGCTCTAACAGTAACGGTGGTGATATTGACTGTGCTGGTGTCACATACTAACTTCTTTAAGCTCAACAGCACATTCATGGCATAGGATCCATTTTGCACATTTTATACACAAGGAAACTGCCGTGCATGTAAGTTTGACTTGTGAAGCCACCATGATGTGCAAATGATAGGGCTAGGATTCCAACGTATGGCCCCTAGTTCACATCTTTGACACTGTCCTACACGGCCTTCCCAGGGACGCACAGCACAGCTGTAGAGGGGTGGGAGGCACTGCAATTTGAGCTCTTCAGTTTCTTTTTGCAAAGAGCTGTTTAATGGATGTTCCTCAAGAAGAGGTATCTGGTTTGCTCCCCGCTACACACCCAGCACTCAGCACTATGCTTGGCATTGAGTGAATACTCAGTAAGGACATCTACATGCACAGAAAAATGTGAACAGTACAGTGAGCTCACAGTGAGGCTGAGTCAGGGCAATGATGCCATCAGTTATGACCACTTCACTTAGCACTTGGTCAGCAGACTAAAAGACTCACAGAAAAAAATGACTCCAATATCAGATATTCATTCATTCATTCATTCATTCATTCATTCATTCAGGCTTTTGGTCATTTACAAACATTTACTGATCCCTGGACTAGTTCCAGGCCCTGTGAAGGCATTGATTGTAAAAAGACTTACATTCTCAGGTGTTCATTGTATTGTTATTCTTTTATCATATACATAGAGTCACTATAAAAATCTATTCAATATTTAATTAAAGTAAAATTTTAAGAAAGTAAATCAGACAGGGATCCAGTCCTCTGGGAGCCTCCAGTCTAGAGAAGAAACAAATGTCCAAACAAATCACTGCAAGCACATTGCTGACGTCCTAGGGAGGGCAGCGGCTTCAGCCTGCTCTGGGAGACATCACACTGTGTCTGAAAGGCAGGCTGCTCTCCGTGGGGTGCAAGGGTCTGAGCCGCAGAGGGAAGAGCACAGGCAGTCCAGAGGTGTCAGCACCTGCTTCACGGGGCGGCTGTATGACAGAAGTCAGCTATTCCCAGCACCTACATCAACTCCCAGCAACAGTACGCTGAGTTTTCTGAATTAATCAACAACCTCAAAGCCACAATGTAAAGGGCCAGGACAGCAGGGCCTCTAAGTTTTCCAGGTGAGTGTGTGGGCTCTGTGGCAAAGAAGATGCTGGAGACAGGAATCTAGCAAAGATAAGACAGCAGCCCAGACGAGAGCTCCTGAGGGAGGAAGGGAAGGGACAGTGGGCACTTTGCTTGAGTCACAAGGAGGAGCGCTCCTGTAAACTGAGGGGGGAGCTGCAGGAGAGAAGCCCGTCAGGGGCTGAAGAGTGTAATAACAAACCACAAGTGTGGGTTTGGTGGGGCTCAACTATGGCAGGGGGTTGGCAAGAGACCTCGGGGGAGGGGTCGTAATTTCATTTCAAATCCAGTACGTCTTTACCTAGCAGAGTTTAAGGGTTTGGTGCACAAGTAATGCTCAGGAATAGAGGTTACCAGAGAGCAGCGGTCCAGGAAAGACTGTAGAGAGTAGCCACATCTATGGCTGCAGAGAAGACACAGACCAAGCAGTCAGACCAAGGAGGACAAACCACAGTGAGCCACAGGGGTGCCCAAGAGTGCAGTGCCCAACAGTTGTGATGAGCGCATACCCGAGGCTGAGGAGCTGCAGCAGAAAAAGGGGTGGCCCTACACCCCTGAGGGCCATGAACCAGGAACGCCCCACCCATCTCCCAACCCACGCGTGCTGGGCTGGGGCAGCTCGCTGCGCTGCTGAACACAGCCCACCAGAGTGGAGCTGTCTGGACACAGATCCCACAGGTCAGGGGGGCAGGAGCAGGCTGAGAAGATGGAGGCGATCCCTCCAGGAGGCTCTTCTCAGGGAGTACACGCGAAAGCATCTACCAACATACAGCTGCTGGGCAGGAGAAAAGCAGGGAGTCAGGAAAAAGAGAAGGAGGCATCCACGGGCAGGACCCAGGGCTGTACCAGGGGGAACTGGCCTGGTGGCCATGGACCATCAGCAGGGAGGCCCTCTGAGGCCAGTGTTCCTCTCCACAGCCTCAGGGAGTCCTGTAACTCGCAGAGTGCAAGGTAAGGACAGTGAGTAAGACAGGGAAAGGGACACGGATATACAGCAGAAAAGACACAGGGTATCAGGCAGGGACAGGGGAGAGGACAGATGTTAAGAACTAGCTGGAATCTGGGCATGTAACACAATCCTGTAATCCCAGCACTCAAGAGGCTGAGGCAGGAGGATCACCATGGGTTTGAAGCTAGCCTGGGCTACATAGCAAGTTCAAGGTCAGCCTGAACTGTATAGTGAGACCTTGTCTAAAAAAAAAGAACTGGAAGTCAAACAGGGAAAACTAAAATTACCTTATCTAGAGATATTTTTTGAGGCACTAGGGATTAAACTCAGGGCCTTGCTTATGCTACATAAGCACTTTACCACTGTGCCATATATCCCCAGTTCTTTTTCTAAATTTTCAGGGTTTCACCAAGTGCCCCAGGCTCACCTCAAACTTGCAATTCTCCTGCCTTAACCTCCTGAGTAGCTGAGATTACAAGCAGATAATTACTTTTTAAAGATGGCCAAGAAAGGTAGAGGACATAGAAAT